AACACTTTGACATTCGTTCTTACTGGATAAAATTGAAACTCTGATATGTTTGATATTTATTATTTATTTGTCCATTAAATTGTTGAGGAAAAAGACAGAAAAAAGCACAAGCTAATAATGAAGCAGCCTGTCGTTGAGACATGGTTAGAGAACGATTGGTTCCAATGCGTAGTAATGGTGGTGGCTGAAGAAATGTACATGTAAATTATAAGAAAACAAAGAGATCAATTTAATATAAACCTGACTGCAAATATTACCGACATTAAGAGCAAGCGAAATCATTTCTGGTAGAATAATGGATATGAAGTAAGCTCGTTGATCAGCAGAATAACTCTAATAGTAATTATTGATTAAGTTAGACTACATATGTGTATAACATTACTTGATTAAGTAACTGTTCTAGACAGCCTATTTCAAAACTAGCTCCGTTACTCTCTTCTATTGCTGTCTAAATATGAATATTTTATATCTACATGAAAGCCAAAGTCACAGTATCTCACTTTAATATCGTTGATAGTGGCCGTTTTTTCAATACACTTTTGTTTAAGTTGTATCAATTTATTTTGAATAATTGGCCATCTCGGTATTCCATCGTTCTACGAACAAAAGTTTTATATGTATTAATGGATAGTTTTTATTTAAACTCACTGTTACATTAAATGGTGAACATGGCAAACGAACATGATCGTCATTCCATATATCCAAATAATTTCTTATTCCATGAATTGGTTCTGGTTCACGATCGGGATTCGATGAATCATATTTGAATGGCTATTTAAAAAGAAAATTGAATTACTGTATATTCGATGACTATATATTCCATGTTATACTTTAATCATAAATGTATGACCAATATCATGAATATCTTTCATATCATTCAGAACGGGAACTGTTTGAAAGAGATTGGGGATATCAGTTAATGGTATTCCCTAAAGAATTATTGAAATCTTACAAGATAATTGAAAGTATATAAATCTTACATGACATATTTCATCAGTGGTCTCGTTACTTTTTAGTTGTTCATTGGCCATGTTTGAATCTAAACTTGCCGGGACAAAAATATATATGTCGAATGTTTCATAATATTGTCACAGTTAACAATACTCACAAGGGATATTTGAATAGTTAAATATCTTATACATATATTTGAATATAGATTTTCATAAAAGAGTGTCATCAAAATTTTTCTAATTTTCATTCCTTTCAAAATGTTGTGCAAAAGTGAAACCATTAGTTTTAAGAGATTTCTGAATCCTAAATTTGTTAAAATATACAAAAATTTTTAAGAGAAAAATCGTTTGAAATTTTCAAAATCACTGATATTTCTTGTGTTTCAAATAGGAACATTATTGTACGTAACTATTTTCTTTAGTTCAAGCCATCAATAAAGGCTGAAAAATAGACTTAAAGACATACTTACGTTCTCGATGTTTTTCTTTTTAAAACAAAATGCACATGGCGTCAAGTACTTTTATCAACGTAAAAAGAGACGATAAGAAATCGAAAAAAAAAGTCAATGCTCATGTGAAACAAAGCAGAATCATTATGAATGTCACTCGCGTTTCAAAAACGAATCTATGTAAAAAGAAAAAAAAAGCAGTCTTTTTTTCTATTTACAATTAGGACTTCCGACTGACATAAAAAAGACGATCGAAAAAAGTTGAATAAAATAATTTGATGTCATCCAACAAACTATCGAGATCCAACAAGCACGCTCGTAACAGACCGCGGATGTATGGATCTAGGTCTAGATGAGCTGAAGGTTCACATCTATACCTACCTTCACATCCATTTTTCTTATTTTGTCAATTTCACGGAAATTGATCCAAATGGCAACAACATATAGATATTAGTCAACTTTGCAAACTTTGCAGATTGTTATGTCACATCATTGTTGTCAGCTTAACTGAGCAATAGTTTTGGATGAGAGTTTTCACAACTTTTTTTTGCGCAGAAACATTTAATTTTGATAGTGGCCAATGACCAACGACAACGGTAGTCGTTGCTTCGACGATATTACAGTCGCAATGTGTGATGTATTAAATGTGTTAACTGCAAGTAATGAACCGGCGCCCACTATACCCTTCAACAAGAGCTAGTTGAATCACATCAATTCAGTTTTATTTATTTAATAATACTTTGTTGTTGTTCGTTCAATCAAGTTACAAATCAAAAGAATTTATTTCAGTCTAGAAGAATAGTAACATGTATTAGTCATAATCATTATTTGCATATCGCTAACAGAACGATGCTTCTTCTTGATGGGAAGAGTTTTAGTGTGGGAATAGAAATAAGCTATGCCCATACTGCTATTCTTCAACATAGTCGAATCTAATGCTTTTCGTAGGACTTCTGCGCACACTATTTCTTTTTTTTACATTCGATAAAAGTTTGCGAGAATATCAAACATTATCGAGCAACTTCTAAACACAATCATTTGATATGATTCTATGTCTATTAACAAGAAAGCTATACAATACTAGGCCTGTCAGATACATATCACGGTCGCTTATATTATACTTGATATTGCAATTTTTTTTTTCGTTTTCCCTCTACATTATGTCTTCGTCTACGTTTTTGACAACAAGCAATAGGCCGTTAGTGGTTATTACAGGTGTTCTCTCAGTGGTATTCATTTCGTATTACCATCGATGAGTAAATAATGAAGGCCTTTAATAAAAGATCTTCTCATTCGTCATTCTAGTCGAACGTCGAGGTGGTACTATAATGAATATAGGTTCATTGGCAGAATACAAAACCTTTCCGCATCATGCATTTTATTGTGCAACAAAGTTTGACGTGCGCATTTTGACGGGACAAATTATCATAAAACTCATTTAATCGGCTGAGTCATAACAACGGCACACATGTACTGGAGTCTACGCATGATGATATATCATATTTCAATGTTTCATTAGCTATAATTATTGTGAACATTACTCTTGTTTCAGCTATTCAATACGTGGCACCATTAATATGAAGTATTCTTTCCACGTGTATAGTCGATCATAACTTGTGATCAATATCTTGCCAAATAAAATCGAATCATATCATGACACACTATTTATATCTATTCATAAATGATGATTGAGTGCGATTTTTGCTTTGAATAAAGAAATCTTTCGTATTTATAAAGATGATTAATGGAAAATTTCCATCGCGTAAATCGGATTCTAGTTGGAAAAGTTATTATAACATCTGGCCAACATTTTGCACTGTATAGGCCGCCGAAAGATTTAAGCTCAAGCGACATTAATTTCTCTTATTTTCCTTGTTCACTTATTTTTTTTCAAGTATTTACGCAAGTATTTGATGAAATTCAAGCCATCACTTTGAGCGATTAACTAATTAGTTTTATCTAACATCATAGAACCGTTAAAATAGTTGAATAATTGTTGATTTTCTACATTCAGGTGTGCCTATATGGATCATATTACATAATTAACATTTAATTCAAACATACCAACAAGAGTCATATGTTGACCTTATCAATGAATAAAAGTTATCAAAAAAAAATGATTCAATCGACATTTGTCTTACTTACTTGGCCTGATATGCAATTGAAATTTGTTATGAATAATAGATAAATTTAACTTGATCAAACTTTATCTCTCCATGGAAGTCAACCTGCACAAATGACATATTATATCCATGGCAAGTGCATGGTTGAAAAGACAATAGTTATTTTTCAATCAAATAAATTTAAAAAAAAGTTTTAACAGTCGAAACTGATGTGGCGATACGACTAGATCTATCATAATGGAGACAGTAGAAGAAGAAAAAATGTAAATTTGAAATTGCTACCTCACGATTTCGTCAAAAAATGAAACTCATAAAAACACTCTTTTTATTGTGCTAATCATCTTCTATTTTGTGTTCTTATATCATGTCAAAACCTAACAACTTGTTTTCCACTATCAAAATAACTTCTTATTGCAATTCATTTTTTTCATGAAATCCAAAGGTGGATCATGGATAAATTTTTCAATAAAAAAAGAAACGTTTGACTCAGTTTTTAATGCTGATTCAGAACATCAATATTTAATTTTTCTAATCAAAATCTGCTAAATACCAGTAAAAGGCACAAACGTATACTTCGGGAATAATACATTCCCGCATTTTCAGAAACTTTTTTCTTAAAATTGTTATAATAGTATCACCATTTTTTTTACTTAAACCAAAATAGAGCTATTTAGATATTTTAAAAAGAAAATATCATATCATAATATCGGAGTCAATTAAGTACAAAATACTTTTTCTTCACATCAATATTAGGATGTGCTTGATCCCTCACAAACATGATTCGTTTTTTTTTCTTTTATCACCTTAAACATACTCATTATATTGAAACAAGAACAATTTTATTCAAGGTAAAATAAAATGGACAAAAAAAAAAAAAAGAACACGAAACATTTACACACTCAAAAAATGGTAATAGAACATGAATTTTATCACAAAAATAATCATTGATCAATTATTTATTGTTCATATACTATTGATGGAATATTTATTTGAACAAAGAATTTTCATTTTCTATTCAATAGTTTCAATTAAATTCATGATTAATATTCAAAATATAATTATAATCAAACAATTGATTAATGTGAAATATTGTATAAATATACAAATTAAAAATGATATATAAAATAAACATGTAAAAATTAAGAATATTGATCTATTGAAATCAAATGAAAATTTTTATATAACAAATATATGGATTTGTATAGTATTTTACATTTGAACAATAATAAATCAATGTAATAATGATTGTATGTATTCTCAATAGAGATTGAATATATTTTAGATGATCATAGAGATGATTTGCGTAGTTAATATAGGGAATTGACATTCTTTTTGCGTATTGAAGTAAATCCAAAGCAAGTTCTAGAATATGTTTATCAGTATGATCGATGATTTTGATGACATTTATCTAGTATTATAACAGGAAAAAGTAGAAAGATAGATAAGAATGATTTTGATAAATTTTTTTTTCCATTTCGGACACTCGATGACATTGCCGATAAGACTATATTTGATTAATCATGTATTTTCTTTTTTTTTTTATTATTCTTTACATTCAAATATACTATTATGCATATGATTGTTGACAAAATAACATCTTGTATTTTATTCATATTCAAACATTATCAAGAACACTCGATAATCATCATTTATATTGTTCGATTTGAACTTTGAAAAGAGAACAAAAAAAAGAAAACACTACGATAGAGTTCATCGTCAAATCACTATTATTTGGTCACATCGTCCTTCTACGGTCAATTGTATGTGTCCGATATTCACCTTTCTCTCTCTTTTTCTTCTTCTCTTGTATCTTAACAATGAATTTTAAATAAGAAGAACTCAGATTCTATATCTATATCTATATATATATTTATGTCTATTAGTGATTGAAAAGTGCAATAAATGAAAACAAATTTTCTTTTTTGTTTTTAGAATAAAACTATGAATTTCATACATTTTTCTATCTTATTAATATGTATTATTAATTATTCTTCTGCTGGTCCACTTGAAGATCTAGCTAGTATGCCTGATTTAACATTAGTAAGTTTTGAAAGAAAAAAGTTCTTTTTTTCTTTTCTTTCTCTTCTTAATTAAAATTTTAAATATAGTTTTATCAACAATTAATACGTCAACAAGATATTCAAATGATATTACAAGGTATTTATCCTCAACAACAACCAGGTAGTATGAATGATTTTACAATATTTGCACCAAATAATGATGCTATGTTACAACTTAATCGAAAGAATGAAGATCTAAATTTACTTTGGAAATATCATATTGTATCTGGAGCTTATGATGAACAAATGTTATATAATATGGCACAAACAAAATTTCATCAAGTTAATCCAACACAAATGGCTGGTATACGAATACAAAATAGTTTACCAACTATAGCATTACCTTTCCAAGTATATGATAGAAGAAGAAAAAATTGAAATTAAAAATTCTTTGTTTTTTTTTTTCGTTTTGAGGTTTTTTATGGCGTTGGATTTTATGGTGGAACAGGTCCACATACAAATGATACCCATGAAAATGCAGGTTATGGTACAGGTGGAATATCTTGGTTAACACACACATCATTTAATCAAACAAATTTATTTGAAAATAATGTTCCACTTAAATCACCACATAATATAAGTAATAAAAAACTAAAAATTCTTCATAGAATTTAAATTATTTTCTTGTTTTTAGACAATAATAATTATAATCAAAAACAAAATTATTTTCCTAATCAAGGTACACGAATAACAAAAAAATTATTTATTTGAAAATATATTTTCTTTCTTTTTCAGGAAGTTTATTACCGAATAATCCAAATGTTAATTCACCATATTTACCAAATCCTAATATACCAAATATGAATTACATTCCATATATCCCACAACCAAATTTTGGACCGATGGGACCTAGTGGAAGTATTAGAGTATTAGTAAGTATCAGACCGTCCGGCTCGACGATTTTATCGTTTTTTGATATAAATTTTTCTGGGATTTGGCTCACATCTGAGGGTATAGGGAAAAGCTTTTCCACACTATCCCTCCCTGTTGGCCATCACTTTTTATAAAAGCCGAATAATATGGAATAGCTGTTTATTTAGAAAAAAAAAAATCTTTGTAAACGAAGTTTCTTTCGGATCATAAAAAAGTGACTCGATTTCGAGGCCTAATAAATATTCATGAGTGGCGTAAGATCAATTTTTGAGAGGAAGCAATAAAGTTTCGAATAGGTCTATGTTGTCTCTACTCCTCCAATAGTGAACATTTTCGCAGCAAAACTTTAGTCGCTTGAAAATAATTTTTTCTCAAAGGCATGATAATTGCATCACTTGACAGGGGATGATGTGTTCTAAATTAGTGTAATAATCAGTTGAAAGGATAGAGATGCTATTCTTTAGATTCTTGACTAAGTTGACATAAAACTTGTGCGTTAAATAGATCAATTAAGCAATCAGTTCTTTCGAGAAACACCCTATCACTTCGTTTCGATGATGATATATATATTGTAAAACTCATAAAACTCTTTGAAGTTTCTAATAGTAACAACTTAAAATCTATACTATGTTTTGGTTGACTTTTTTTTTTCGATAATGATATGATTTCTTCTATTCTTATTTGAAATAATTATTTAATACAATTGAAAAACATCTCAATTTGTAACTAAATATTTTTATAGTTGCAGGATGTTAGTAGTTGGCAAGATTTTGACAACAGAACAGGATCTTTTCTGATATTTACTAGTGAAAGTATGAACTGAAAATTACTAGCTATTGAGATTTTATAAGAGATGAAAAATATTTAGTTTAGGCCGAAATGAACTTGTAATACTGATCCATCTTTTCGTGAGCTTAATAAATTTAGTCAGCATGATTCGAGACTCTCATCGTACGATAAGAAAGTGTTAACTCAATATTTCGAGCTGATATTATCTGATTTCGAAGTTTATTTTTTTTCTTCAGACATTTTGTTTTTAAATATAAAAACACTAAATTATAAATTTTGTTAAAAAGGAAACAAGCATAAAACTACGAATGCTGAATGGCAAGTAAGAAGATTTGTAATTGCTCACTTAATATTAGTTAACCAGACTTTAAATTTTTTGATCAAAGTCATAAAGTGTCATACAGTCAATGTTAGAAGTAATTGTAGTGCTGGTGTATCGCTCGCGAGTGATATATAACTGATGAAGAGAATTCCATTTTTCTGACTTAAAATGTTCACAATATTTTGTTTTTCATGAAAAATGATATTTTCACAAAAAACTGAAGAAGAGAATCGATTCCATTTCTCAAGCACAATACGTTATTATTTGTTTTTGTCAGAGTAAAGTTTTAATCGAAAAAAAAACATACATTTTTTGAAGATACTCTCAAGATTTTAAAAATTTCAGCTTAATCAGAAGTACGACGGTTGATACACTGAGTGCATCATTTGTAATTCTTACGGTCTCAGTATTTTCAACGGAACAGCATTCGAAAAATTTCAATCTTCTGTATCGACAAAATGCCTATATAATCTAATTCATTATTGCCATTTTAATGTGGATTTGTTTTTCATTCGTACCCTCTACGAGAAAACAAAACTACTTTCTTTGTCATTTTCGTTAAGAAAATTTCAAATAGGGATTAATTGTTTTTGAATCAGCAAAAAAAAACTACATAAAATTAATTTGTCTTGTAGCGTGTTACTATTAACAATGCATTTATATTACAATCACGTCGAATGAGTCGTGGTATAATTCATATAATTGATGATATTTTATGGCCACCTGAAAGACGTGATCAAACACAATATAAAACAGCATATGATACACTTGAAGATAGACAATTTTCGTAAGATTTACTTAATGAAAACTTTTTTTCTTTGTATTTATGAAATACATAAATATGTTTTATTATTTAAATAGACGTCTTCGACAATTAGCTGAACGTAGTGATTTTTTTCGATCTGAATTACGTTCAATGCATCATCAAACATGGTTTTTACCAAATGATCAAGCATTTGCTAGTATGGGTTCAAGTTTCAGTTTTTTATTTGAACAATTTAGTACAAATAATACTAATGATGTAAATGAAGTAAGAATTTTTTGCTGTTGTTTTTTGTATTGTATTTTCAATTAATGATTAAATAATTTAGTTTATTAAATCACACATTATTCCATTAGTGTTATTTCCAAGTGCAATGGATTCAACTAAACATATAACAACATTAAATGAACATAAATGGGTTACATTTCGTAAAGTATCACAACCGGATCAATCATTTCAAGGTAATATTTTTTTTTGTTTTTGATGAATTAATATTTTTGCTTTTTTTTTAGTTGATGTTATTTCTGGTCGACATGCAGGACGTATTTTAATTTCTCGTACAGAAGATATTCGATTATATGGTAATGGTATTGTCTATCCAATATCAACAATTCTTAGTATACAAACTCGATCAGCTGCAGATGAACTATCACGAAATTATCAGTAAGAATAGATAACTTTAAAAGAAAAAATTTATCGTTTTGGTTTATTATCATTTGAGATATTTTTTGAATCTTGTTCAACGATCAGGCGATATGGAATTAATGAGTTTATTACAAGGTATACCAAATATGAATATATATAATCCACAAAATTTATTTAATATAACCGTACTTATACCACAACAAATGTCTATTCTACAATTGGGACAATCACAAGAGCTTAGTATGGTAAATAAAATATTTTTAAAATTGAACTTAGCTTTTGCTTACAAATGGATTTGTATTTATTGAATGTTAACACGGAATTAACATGTTTAATTCAATTTTTAATCTCAAAGAAAGATTTTTGTAAAAAAAAAAAAAAAGGAACACTTTATGTTCAATAGATGGACAAAATCAGCGAAAACAGGACATGACTATCTTCGATTTGACTTGAATTCTTTAGACGGATTACTGTTTTGGACCAAGTCTTTTCCTATGAATATATATGAAAATATTGACTCTTTCGGCTCACAACTAATTAAAATGTGACTAGCGAATAACTCTCGAACTTTATGTTGGAAAAGTTCAGGAGCTTCAGAATAGACGCCATGCCATAGACTATATCTAGGATGACACTTTTAACAATATCGAACTCCAAAAAATTGCCTCCAATAAACCGATTTTTCAGAGATATGTCCTTATCCCAAAATGAGATGTTTTTGTTTCGATATTCGAACTCGTCATGTCTCCTAACAACGAATAAACTCATTTTTTAAGAAAAATCTTAGTGTGATTAGAAAAATTTTTGTATAAAGTTTTTGAAGTTTGAAGAATCCTCTACAAAACGTGTTATTTAGTTTTCAAAAATATTGTTTGAACTTGCAGGATTTGTAAATGGAAACATACACAATACACATTTTTGGTCCTTTTTCTGTGTCACGCCACTTACGACAGTTTTTCAATAACAACTTGGTGCAACTGACAGTCTATAGAACTGAGTTTTTTAGGCTATCTAGAATAACTCAGCATACATCTGTTACATAAAAATTAGTTAAAAGAAATGTTGCAAAATCATATTGTTAACAAATGAAATTGCCTGTAATAAGAAAATTTCATATATTTAAAAATTCAATTTTTCAAGAAGACATTTTTCTTATTGCAAAATTTGATGATTATCAAGTAATCCTAAATATCTAACCTAAGATGGAAACTTGATCTACTGTCGTGATAAATCGATTCTAACAGCTCTTTTTAAACTTTGCCAAATATAATATTCCGAGTGCTATGTATTTCTCTATTTTCTAGCATTTACGTCGACATATTTTACAACTTCCAGTTTACGCAGATGAATCAATGCTTGCACCAATAATGCCAAATTCATTTGCTCAACAAAATATCTATCAAACTGGAATACAACAACAAGAACAGCCACTAATACCTCAACCACAGCAACCAAGAATTCCTCAACAACAACCACCATTCATTCCTCAACAACAACAACCATTCATTCCTCAACAGCAGCAACCATTTATTCAAAATGGTTTTAACCAACAAAAACTTCAAATACCACAATTTCAACGAACTGGTTTTCAATCAGACAAAAAAGAATCACGACATCGTAGGCAAATAAATATTCCATCAAATATAAATTTTCAATCACAACAATTGCCTAATCAGCAGATATTACCTATTCAACAACAACAATTAAATCCAAATTTGTATCAAATGCCTTCATATCAATCTTCAATAATCTTTCAAAATGGTCAAACCTATCCAACAATGGATCCACAATTTTCTGTTCAAGCACAAGTATCTACTGGTTCACAAGGAAATAGTAAGAAATAAAATTATTAATGTATATTATTATTGAAATTATTTTATTCAAGTTGTAACACTTATCAGTCGATCAATGAATTCTTTACCATTTACAGCAACAATTATTAATAGCGAATCAAATATTCCAATAAAAAATGGTGTTATGCATGTTATTCGAGGTATAATTTTCTTTTATTTTTTTACTTTTCTTTTTAATGAAAATTTTATTATTGTGTAGGCATTGTATCTGGAATGATTATTCCACTTGAAGGAATTCTTACATCATTACAAGGAGCAAGGTAATAATAATAATGATCTATTACATTTTTAAATTTCATTTATTTATTATATTTAGTTCATTTACACAATTACTTCAACAAACACGTGTTATTGAACAATTAAAACAAACAAATCGTCCTTATACATTGTTTATTCCAATAAATGCAGCATTACAATCTATTGGTATGACAACAAATACGAATCAATTAAGACATGTAAATATTTTTCTTTTTTTCTATAAATTTTTAATAATCATTTTTTTTTTCTTAATTTTAATAGTTTGTTCTACGTCATATATGTGCTGATATTCTTCTTGATCCAACAAGTAATCTCGTACGTCGTTCAGCTGGCTATTATAGTCGTGATCAAAATTTCAAAAATAAACTAAAACATCAACAACAACAACAACAACGTTCTCGTCAAAAACGACAAGATTGGATGAATAAACGACGAAATGACTCAAACGTTATAAATAGACAAGGTTTACAATTACCAGAATCTATTCCAGGTTATTTTCCACCACCACCACCACAACAACAATTTTATGGAGGTTATCCACCTGTTCCACCACCATTTAGTCCTAATAATCAATTGTATAATCCAGGTTATACTATGAATGGTTACGCATCACCACCAAATTCAGCTTATTTTCCAGGTTATAATGGAACTTATTCAAATAATCAAAATGTTAATTATAATAATAATAATATGGGAATTGTAAATCAACCAATATCGAATACACCTTGGAATGAAACAAAATATGTTCCTGTTAATCCTGGACCAAACAATGGAGCACAAAATGATTATACAAATGTAGGTGAATCGACTTATGCTACTGGACCACAAACTTGTATTGCAATGACCGGTGAACGTATTACGGTTCAATCATTAGGTGGTCTTCAACCAGAAAGTATGAAAGATGTTTTTTGTTATAAGAAATAATATGTATCAATCGAAACTAAACTAATTTAAAGTCATTGAAGCAAAAAAAAAAATAATTAGATTATTATCAAACTCTAAAAAAACCAGTAATATATCAATTTTTGATAAAGAATCACTAAAAGGATGGAAACTCGATTCTAATCAAGTATTTTAAAATATAGTCTTATAAATATCTCGTACCGTTTGTTGCGTCAACACAAAAAAAGAAATTCCCTATTATTTGTGAATTTTGTATATATAACAAGTTTAATTTTAATTATTAAAATAATTTTTTTCTTTTCTAGTTAATATTCCAAGTATGTCATTTCAAAGTATGTTTGATTAATGTATTTATTTCTTAGAAAATATTTTCTTTTGATAGATTTTATTGTAACATGTTGTGGTGATCAATCAGTTAATGCAATGGTACAATCATATTATGTTTATCCACCAAATATTGCTGTTTATTTAATTGGTCGTTCATTACTTTCTCAAGGTCAAACAATCAATACATTGTATAGTTCTACAACAAAACTTGTTCCTTCTTATATGATTTTCCTTATTATTATTTCAATAACTTTTAAACAAACACATTAATTTTAATTCATTTCGTGTACACAAAAAAATTAAAAATCTGTGTTGTTTTTTTTTTACATACAAAAAAGAAAATAATAATAACTACGGCATATACACAAATATTATTTCATTGAACAAACAAACAAAAACAAAACAAGAAAATTTAATTTCTAATTATTTTAATTAATTAGTAATAGATAAATTTGAATGACTTGTATATGAATATGATAAAGTTGAAATATCTTGTTGATTAATAAATGGACGTTCTTGAATAAATATATCATCACGTTTAGAACTATTTTTCATATATAATTTATTTTCATTACAATTAATTAACATACAATAAAATGCTGATGCTAAATCTGTTTGTAATGATAAATAACCATGATCAGCTAAATTTTCACATAAAATTGAAAATTCAACTATTGGCTGTTGCTGTGTTTCTGATGATAATATTGATGATTGTTGACTTGTTGTACTTATATCAAGTGATAATGTACGTTGTTGTTCAATTTTTTGACGTGTAAATTCTTCAATCATTTGACGTTTAAGAATTTTTGCATTAACAGATGATGAACCTTTAGCAAATTCAATTTTTTCATAATGAATTGGACGAATAAAATCATAATGAATTTCTGATAATGGACCATCTAGAAATGAAATATATTTAGGATAGATTCATATATTTGAAAGAATTCAATTTTATAAAAATATGCTTTATAGATTGTCCGACTAACTCTATTATCCTTGAAGTGTATAATCATTTTCATGCGCTTTATTTTTCTCCTAAAGTTTGAATGGTTGATTAGGAAAATGTACGCAACATCTTATTTTATTCCTTAAACTATCCTTTTCATGTTTTTTTTTTCAAACAGTTAAAGAACAAAATAAGATGTCGTTCATATTGTCTTAGTCAAATGAAATGCTTTGAACTGGTAATGCACTCACTTCAGGGTTCGAAACGAGCCACATTTTTATGACCCAATCCTCGCGGTCCGAACGAAACTTTTTTTTTTACACATTTGTTTCTTCAATAAAATTTATAGATCACTACAGTGGTTGCTTATATACTGGGAAGCAAATACCCGGCCTTATTTTGAGTTTAACTGGCTTAGACTCTAGAACTAAAAATAAAATTAATATACAAGAAGTTGAATTGCTTCTTAAGTGAAACAAACAAAAATATTCAAGGTTTTAGTACATCCATAATGCTCATTCTACATAGCACGATATCCTCTATGGTACCATGTCTTAATTGAGTTACACTAGTGGAAAATTCACTGCATTTCTCAGTGGAGCTATTTTCTTTTTTGTCTATTTTGACCATATAGTGAGCTAATCAATGGTCAAATGTAATTTGTGAACAAGAAAAAATTAATTGATACCTAAAGTTTGAAGATGAGCCTCCCAATTTAATCGTTTAGAACTTTTTCGACCCGCTAATAGACTATGTTCTACTGTGCTCTAACGCACAACATCATGCGAACAATTTTCCATAGAATCCTGCATAAAATCCACAGAATTACCCTTTTTTCTAGAAAATGGTAAACTTGCTATGAATTCATTGCTTAGTCATAAATGAAAGATTAAATAAAGTGTTATTTAAAGCTCATGTGTTCGATGGCGAATTATTTTCGACGCATTTTTCTGCGAATCATATATGCTCGTTAAATAATACCATTTTTGCAACATAGAACTTCACAAATAGACGAGAAATATGATTGGGTGAAGTAATTATTCGAATTGATTATATTAGTCATGCCTCACAGAGACTTCAAAAATAAAAAAATCACGAGTTTTATATCAAAAATATCGCATCGTTGGTGATGAAACAGATATTAATTTTGACGTACTTCAAATTTATCGATTGCAAGCAACATTTTAACGAAACAAATGCAACGACTGTGATTTTTGAATCAAAGTAACAGATTTTAATTGATGAAAAATGGCTGCTTCAATCAATGAACTTGGAAATACACTAAAATGAGTTTTTGTTTCATCATTCAAAATGGCATTTATTTATTTTTTCAAGTCACTGGATTGAAGCTTAGATACTTTTTCTATCATAAAACATTCATAATAATTTCGAGTTCTTAAAATGAACATATAATTTCCCAAAAAGTTGAAAGAAAACAATGGGCTCGGATCCGAATCTATGATTCTTTCTAATCGGAGTTTTTATTTTTGCTTATTGATGTATGTTAAACTAATTATTTTACAAAAAATTTAAGAATGATTGTATAGAAGATGTAGAAATCTGTATTGTCTCACTGGGTCTTTTTTTTAATATGATGAATATCTTACTTTCGTCATCAAGATGATGATTATCATCATGAAAATCATTATGATCAAAATCATCTTGATCATAATAATGTTGTTTTTGTTTTTGTTGTTGTTCTCTTCGTCGATTAATTAAATCCAAATATTCAATATTTAAATCAGGAAAATTATGAAAATTTGTTAAATCATTTAATGGACGTATTTTTCGTGCTAATTGCATTTGATTAAAACTTTTTTCACGTATACGTAATAAAAGTGAACTTTGACTTGTACTAACAGCTTTTTTATCTCGACCACTATTATTATTATTATTATTATTATAACCTAACATAATTTGTTCAATGGATATTTGATTAAATGTATCAATGCGAATATTTCGTTTTGGACCTCCTCCTCCTTCTCTTCCTATACCAGTAATTTTATGTGGTGTTACTGGTGCCTGTTGTTGTTGTTGAACAATTGATGTATTTGCTGTTGGTTGAGCTGTATTAAGTAAATTAGTAAATTTCCATATATTAGGTCCAGCAAATAGTTTAAGTTTAGTTGCATCAAAATATGAATATTCTGATTGACCTTCTTTTGAATGTAATAAATTTGGCATTTGATCAGCAAATGAAATTATACTCATAAATGATGATGATAATAAACCAGTAGTTGATGGAAAATTTGACTAGACAAAAAAGAATAGAATGAAAAAATAAGAAATATGATATTTATTGAGAAATTTTAACTTACATTTACTGATTGTTGTGATTGAAAATTTCCTAAATTAGAATGAATACTCGATGGATCTGGATTACTTAATTCATTTAATGCATTTTTAAAAACTTCATTTGTATGTGATGGATCATCATTAAGATCGTCAATAGCAGCATGAATTAATTCTTCATGATTATATCCATCATCATTATCAATATCATCATTATTTACAAAAGATTTATTTATACTTTCATCAGTTTGTACAAGACAACTTTCATGTATTGTATCAATAAATGAACCACTTGGAATTTCATTAAATACAAATTCACGTAATGTTTGATTTCCTAAACAAAAAAAAGAATAAAATAAAAACAAAAACAAAAAAATATTTTCTACCAAGAATATGATCATGTCCTTCATTAGTTTTAATAACACTACGTAATGATATTAAATCAATCATATGATTTATTGTACTATCAAGAATATTATTAATTTTAGTTTCTTGTTCTTCGATTTGAATATTTGCATTAGTAAAACCATCAATAAGTGGATAATCACTTGATGAATACATTGTATTTGATACCATTTCAGCATATATTGAATCAGCACCAATACCACCACGCCATTGACACATATGTGGTGGTTGTAATGGACGAAATTCAAATTCATGTTCAAGTGTTATTTTAGATAAATCAGTTAAAATAAATGTTGTTGTTTTTGCTTTTACACGACGTACGGGTTTTTTTATTTCACCTTGTTCAGAATTTAGATTTTCATCATCAATATCTGTTCGACCTTCTTCTTTAACTGCTCCATCAGATGATGTTCCTTCATCGGTATTTAAAATATTTCCACTTAACTTTTGAGTTTCTGTATGTAGTGCATCAACACGAAAACCATAAATTTTAGCACTAAAGAAATTAAAAAAACAAATTTAGATCATATAGGACACGTTATAGGCAGGAACTCGATAACTTAGGAAACCGATCGAAAGATTAGTTGAATGGATTTTGAGCATTTTATTTTTGAGAATCGGTAAACAAAACAAACAATAAAATGCTGGAGATAAACGAACCTATTCTACTTGTTGATCTAGTGATCTTTAAAATTTTCTTGAAGATTTAGACGAAATGAACATTTCATTTTCGAGATACAGAATATTTCAGAAAGCTTAGTGTTCTAAAATTCATTCGAAACCAAAAGAAAAATCCAAAACTCTTCTAGAGAAAATATTATGTTATTGTCGTTTATATCTGTAAGATTTCCCAACGATGAATCTGTAATGTTTCTCGCACGAAATTAAAAAGTCATTTACCCGACAGATGTTCTCCAGCTTCACTGGTCTACCGACGAAAAAATGTTGTACTATGTGTGCATGCCAACTCTTAAAATATTTTATCAAAAAGAAAATATGGTGTATCTATAGAATTTTTTCCGCCAGTAAGCATCAGTCGGACCGGATCGATTATAACTTTGATCCACAGGTGAAAGTCTACTGAGCTTGAACGTTCTTAGACAATGATATAAAACTTGGTGTTGTATGTATATCTGTGTGAGGCTAATGAAACTCTCAAACGGCTTATGACCATGGCGAGGTTAAGATCGTTTTACTGAACTGCCGATCCAGTTTAAGATACATACTGGAAAATGAAATCTTGTCCATAGATAGATCTAATGATTTATAGAATATCTTGAAAGTTTTAGCTGAAAAGAATGTTCCTTTGTTGATATATTCGATTTTTTTTGAAATGCCTGACTATTTCTAGGGAAATTCTATATCTTGACGAGAGAAACATTCTTTCCGGCTGAAACTTTCAAAATATTCCTAACTTGGTCTTGTAGATTTTCACTAGTCAAGACGTCCTTGTTATTCTAATATAAGCTAAAATGACGGATATCAATTCAATTGGTTTCCTTGTAAGAAATTTTCTTCTACTATGAAATCCTTTCCAATAAATTTAATTCTTTATATTCAGTTAGATTTTCGAATAAATATTTTACCTGGTATCAATAACTGAACCAGCTTTAACAAAATTTGGTCCTAAATTATGATTATCTTTATCATCCAGTGCAATAACATTTAAAATTTGTGGTAAACGTTCAACAAGTGGTATACTAAATGCATTTTTAATATTAATTTTTCCTTGTGTTGCTAATTCAAGTGTTTTTTGATATAAATCAACTAATTGTTTTGGTGTTTGAACTGGTTCATCAATACCATCAAATGATTTATTCAATGTACGTGATTTTCGGCGTCCTGTAAGACTATCATTAAGAGAATTTTCTTGATCATCAAGATCATCATCAAAATCAGAAATTTTTCTTGTACATCGTCGTGCAGCTAATGAACTAGTGAAAGAAAAAAACTTTCATAAAAATATTTCATTTTAAAATTTATTTCATTTACCGTCGTGGTGCTAGCTCAGGCATATTCGTTGTTAATGACAAGAACGAACGAACGATTTTGTCTTTGTTTCGTTTCTCTCTTCCGCCTTTTAATTTAAAAAACAACCAATTCAAATTCATAGCGCCACCTTCTCATGTACAGCAATGTCATTATTTTTTAGTTGTTCGTGGAAACGATTTAATAATGGAATAATAAAATTCATTTGACAAAAAAAAAAGAAATTTATTTCATGGCTGAAGAATCACAAGAAGAGCTTGATAAATTTCTATCAAAAATCGATGATATTCGTAAGTAAATTAAGTTGAATTGAATTATTTTTAAATATTTATTTTGTTTTTTTAATTCTTAGATCGTATTGTTCAAGATTTATCTTCTAATGATCCAAATGAAGTATCAAAAGCAATGGAACAATCTGATATATTACTTAAAGATACATCCAAAACAGGTGTTGATCGTACTATAATAAATAAATCATCTTCAGAATCAACACAACAACAAATGTCACCGAGTAAAAATACAAAATTTGAAATTATTTTATTGTTTTTTTTTTGTTTGTCTAGATGCATTTATGAGTGCATTAGAAAAAGATGCTCAAGAACGTGCTGAAAATCGTCGTAAAAATAAAATTTTAGCTGATGAATTAAAAACAAAAGGAAATGAAGCATTTCATCAACAATTATATGATCAAGCAATTGATTATTATACACAAGTAAATTATTAATTTGAATAAATATTTTATTATTTGAATTTAAATTACTATTATTTTAGGGTTTAAAAATAAAAAAAGATTATGATATATTATATACAAATAGAGCACAAGTTTATGTTAAACAAGGACGATATGAAGATGCAATTAATGACTGTGATTGGGCTTTAAAAGTAAGAATTAAAAGAATTAATTAAAAGTTTATTTCTATAAATTATACAGATGAAAATAGAGCTTTGATCGAAGAAAAAACAGCGCACGTCAAAAAATTTCAAGGCTGAAGTCTAGAGACCTGCGGATCTACATTTCTGTGGATCCGAGACTGGAAGGATCCTCGATTGTATCCATAAAATTTTTCTTTAATCAGATTCATAAACCAGACTCAAAGATATTCGATTAAAAAGTCAAGGACATATTCAGCTAATGATGTGTGGTATTCACCAGTTGGTAGAGGAGCATAAGGTTATTGAAAAACTAAAGACTACAGATGGCTTGTAAAATCTCTAAAAGAAAAGACCTATTGTCTAATGAAATCTCAATGAATTCAATTGAACCTTTCGAAATATGTAGGCTCACTGTAGATCAATCTCCCATGAAAATATGCTTAATAAATCTTTTACATATACAAATTATGATCCAATAGATTCAATTTTCGGGTAAATAAATTAACTTTTATTTGACACTGACAAATTCTTGTTTAGGTAACACCAACATTTATTAAAGCTTATGTAATCAAAGGCAAATGTTTAATTAATTTAAAAGAATTTGATCGTGCTAAAGAAGAATTTATTCAAGCTGAAGAAATAGCAATAAAAAAATTTGAATCTATAAATACTCGTCGTATGATAGAAGGCTCGTGAGTGAAAAGAAGTTTTTGGATAGATGTTCGTTTGTTTTTATTTTTCAGAATGTATTCAAGAAGTTCAACGACAACGTGATAAATATCAACGAGAAGAATCAGCACGAATATTTCTATCAAATGAAGATTCATCAATACCAATGAATTTAACAAATACACTTAAAAAATTAAATTTTGATAAACAATCAATTATTTATTATATAGGTGGAATTGATCTTCTCTGTCAAATAATAAAAGATGGTGTAGTTTAAATGAATTTAATTTTTTTTTCTTAAAAAAAAAGTTTTTTTTATTTTAGAAACAACTCGAACCGCGTTTCGTGTTAATAATGGTTTTAATTTATTTAATTCTCATTCGATTATAACAGAGAGTGATAATGAAAATTTATCGGAATCAATTTTTAATCTAATGATTATTCTTTGTCAAGATGATGGTACGAAAAAAAGCAACACTTTGTTGTTTCCTTGAGAAAATTTTGTTTTGTCTTCCTTAGATGAAAATACTAAACAATGTTTAGAAAGTAAATTTTTCATTAATTATTTAACAAAAAATATTTATTCATCAAATGCATTTCAATTTCTTGTTGAAATTTCATTAAAAAATCAATCACGATTAATTTTAATGCAAAAAATTACACCGGATAAGTATGAAACAAAATTTTTTATTTTTCTTAAAAAAAAACCTATATATTTAGATTTATTCAATATTTAATGAATATAATCGATGATAAAAACTCTAATCGAATATATGCTGCAAAATTATTAAGTAATTTAGCAATTGAATCAAAGTGAGAATTGAAAATGATTTTTTTATTTTGAAGTTTAATTCAAAATTTTGATTTTTTCAGGATTAAACAATATTTTAATAATAAAGATGAATTGATAAAATTAATTACAATTCTAGTAAGAAATAATTTATTGTTTG